TCAGATTTCATTGCTTAAAAAAATATGCTAAACGTCTGAAGTATTCACCTCACATGTGCAAACCGAAAGTTATGCTGCATAGGTGAAACTCTGGGAATATTCTAAATGTTCTGTATTTGAGCAAAACCTGTTGCTCAACCAAGTAAAAAGGGCAGGGAAAGAAATTTCTCTGGTTTCCAGTAACACTTTAAAATGCTTTAGCATCTAGAAATTGCTCTTTGCAAGCATAATCACTGAAAACTATTCATCACAAATGCATGGGAAAGTCATGGAAATTGGTCAGAAGGTGTGGGAATACATGCACCTTTATTCTTGAAATGATCCCTAGAGAGAATCAAGTCACTTGATACCGGTCATAATATGGTCAGTTCTTCAAAGAATACTGCAACAGGAAACTAGCGAGGAAAAAGAAACTGCCAAACAAACAATGTAATGGTAACCAGATCAGAGTAACGGCTAAACCATAGTGATATCCACTACTTTATCAGGGCTGAGCAAGCGATCTGAATCATTTAAGCAGCAGCATGAAATCAGCATATGCCTCATAAAGGTTTAGAGATTATGGCATGATGTAATAGATGGGAAATTCTGTGACACCAAAGAGAAAATGATCTAAAAATGCAGCATGAAGCACAACCATAAATGCGGATTTCAAGGTCTAACAATTTGATTGGTCTGTATCTTAAAGCATTGCAACAAAGGTCAAAGTCTTTGTCTTTTATTCAAATAATAAACCTGGAACATAAAGGTGCATCACAAAGTGTAAATATTATGCAAGGCTCAATGCAGAGCAGAAACACAGCCAACACACCCTGACATGTCGAAACATGTCTGCAAACAACATTCATACCCACAAATCAGGCCGTGATGTTTCCATGGAGTAAAAAAAAAAAAACCGCTCAATTGTGATAGGGAGAGATAAAGAAAAACACCCAACTCCACCAGTCAGATCATCTCCTCCCAAACACTGCTTTTCTGTATCTCTCAGATCAGACAGAAAGAAAAAAAACTGGTTTAGCTCAGCATGCAAATCATCCAGAACTTCTATTCCCACATCAACTCACTCTATAAAATGATTCTGAGAAAAACAAAACACGAGAGAGAGAAAACTTGAAGGATGTTGCTTAAGCAACACTTAAGGAGGTCTGTGAGTTACAGTTGTTTTGGCATCTCCTTAGCAACAGCTGGAATGTTCTTATAAAGGAGTTGGAATTTGGAGCGTTTTTTCTTTATCGCTCATTCAACATATTTAGATGAGGAAAGGTGAGTTAAATATTAAACAGTTTAAACCAGCTAGGAGCTTATCTTTGGTATTCATCATGAACGCATACAGTGCTGGAGAGCATCAACGTGTGAGATCATGTGATGAGAGACACCATCTGCAACATCCCAATATGAAAAGCAAGAAAGAAATCTAAATGAGATTGAAATGTCACTCAGATACATGGACATTTCTGAACAGCATGGTTTCCTAGATTAAATACAAAAGGGGGCACAAAAAGCTTCCTGCACCTGCAGAGCTCAAGGGTAAAAACAATTACAGGGCACTGAACCAAATTTGTCCCTGCAGAGGAAATGAACAACTTATGAGCAGAACATGTATTTAGATGATCCTCGGTCTGAAACAACATGACTTAGAATCTAGTTTGTCAGTACAAAGCCAAACACTGCTGCATATAAGACTTATTAAAGGGATAGTCCACCCAAAATTAAAATCCTGCCATCATTTACTCACCTTCATGCTGTTCCAAATCTGTAAGGCTTTGTATCTTCTTATATTTTGAAGAGCTGTTTTTTTCCTTAGGGGTCCAAAACAACATTGGACCCCATTGAAATTCATTGCATGGACCAAAAAAAAGTCCAATAGGTTTGAGGGTGAGTAAAAAAATGGCAGGACTTTCATTTTTGGGTGAATTAGTCCTTTAACATAATTCTTTCATAATACAAAAGAGGTATTTAATATCGGCCTCACGAGGGAAACTGTTTCAAAATGCCAGAATATATAAATGACTTTAATAGAAAACACACAAAACCCAAGAGAATCAAGTCACTTGATACCGGTCATAATATGGTCAGTTCTTCAAAGAATACTGCAACAGGAAACTAGCGAGGAAAAAGAAACTGCCAAACAAACAATGTAATGGTAACCAGATCAGAGTAACGGCTAAACCATAGTGATATCCACTACTTTATCAGGGCTGAGCAAGCGATCTGAATCATTTAAGCAGCAGCATGAAATCAGCATATGCCTCATAAAGGTTTAGAGATTATGGCATGATGTAATAGATGGGAAATTCTGTGACACCAAAGAGAAAATGATCTAAAAATGCAGCATGAAGCACAACCATAAATGCGGATTTCAAGGTCTAACAATTTGATTGGTCTGTATCTTAAAGCATTGCAACAAAGGTCAAAGTCTTTGTCTTTTATTCAAATAATAAACCTGGAACATAAAGGTGCATCACAAAGTGTAAATATTATGCAAGGCTCAATGCAGAGCAGAAACACAGCCAACACACCCTGACATGTCGAAACATGTCTGCAAACAACATTCATACCCACAAATCAGGCCGTGATGTTTCCATGGAGTAAAAAAAAAAACCGCTCAATTGTGATAGGGAGAGATAAAGAAAAACACCCAACTCCACCAGTCAGATCATCTCCTCCCAAACACTGCTTTTCTGTATCTCTCAGATCAGACAGAAAGAAAAAAAACTGGTTTAGCTCAGCATGCAAATCATCCAGAACTTCTATTCCCACATCAACTCACTCTATAAAATGATTCTGAGAAAAACAAAACACGAGAGAGAGAAAACTTGAGGGATGTTGCTTAAGCAACACTTAAGGAGGTCTGTGAGTTACAGTTGTTTTGGCATCTCCTTAGCAACAGCTGGAATGTTCTTATAAAGGAGTTGGAATTTGGAGCGTTTTTTCTTTATCGCTCATTCAACATATTTAGATGAGGAAAGGTGAGTTAAATATTAAACAGTTTAAACCAGCTAGGAGCTTATCTTTGGTATTCATCATGAACGCATACAGTGCTGGAGAGCATCAACGTGTGAGATCATGTGATGAGAGACACCATCTGCAACATCCCAATATGAAAAGCAAGAAAGAAATCTAAATGAGATTGAAATGTCACTCAGATACATGGACATTTCTGAACAGCATGGTTTCCTAGATTAAATACAAAAGGGGGCACAAAAAGCTTCCTGCACCTGCAGAGCTCAAGGGTTACAGGGCATACAGGGCACTGAACCAAATTTGTCCCTGCAGAGGAAATGAACAACTTATGAGCAGAACAATGATCCTCGTGATCCTCGGTCTGAAACAACATGACTTAGAATCTAGTTTGTCAGTACAAAGCCAAACACTGCTGCATATAAGACTTATTAAAGGGATAGTCCACCCAAAATTAAAATCCTGCCATCATTTACTCACCTTCATGCTGTTCCAAATCTGTAAGGCTTTGTATCTTCTTATATTTTGAAGAGCTGTTTTTTTCCTTAGGGGTCCAAAACAACATTGGACCCCATTGAAATTCATTGCATGGACCAAAAAAAAAGTCCAATAGGTTTGAGGGTGAGTAAAAAAATGGCAGGACTTTCATTTTTGGGTGAATTATTCCTTTAACATAATTCTTTCATAATACAAAAGAGGTATTTAATATCGGCCTCACAAGGGAAACAGTTTCAAAATGCCAGAATATATAAATGACTTTAATAGAAAACACACAAAACCCAGACATATATAAAGTTACAAACCAAGAACAAAACAGGAAAAACATTGTACCGTTCAATGCAAGTTTCTATTTTTTAATTATAAAACGAAGGGATTTTTCACCAGCAAAAAGTGCCACCATTATGAGCAAGGGTTTAGGTTCTTACAACAATCTAGTCGCTAAAAGGCTTCTGGACTAGATGAGACCCTCAAGTGAGACTTGTGTTTGAACAGTGCAGCGATAGATGAATGTCTGTTGATGTTCACCTTGGTGTTGAGGACAACTGACTCCATCCACAAAACACTGACATTCATAAAAATATAAAGTTAATGATGGAAAAAAGATTCTGTAGCGTTATTGTTTTTTTTTATTGCACGAAATGCACCCATACGAAAATGTAATATGACATATATTGCCCTTCATCAAGAGTGATCTATTATCTACAAGATATATAATAAAGATAAAAGTTTAACAAAAAATAAAAATTCCCATAGTAATTTTGCACGTGTAAATATGTTAATATCTATTTGATTACTTTTAATGTAGCAAACCATATGCAACTTTATTAAAACATATTTTAATTAAATGAACATTGTTCAAATTTCTAATAGGTTTCATACATGTTTTTACATGTGACAACATATTTTATGTATGGAAATGTGATGCATGTACACACTACATTTGCGCACGGACAGGAACTTTTATCTGCTCCATCTTGGAAATTTGCTTGACCTTACCTTAGACAAAACACTACAGTTCCAGCAATTCAACAAATTCCTATTTGAATAAATAGCCATATTTTCAAACGTGCCTCTTTCACTTATCTGTCATTGTAGGCTTTAGATATTGAATGAGCTTTTCTTTGGCAACTCAATCTGACCTGTGTCACAATCATGACCCCTCAGTTTCTCTTTTGTTAATGAGAGCAATGAGTCTGCAGTGAAGATCTCAGATTTCATTCTTAACAGGGATCCTCTGGCAGAGTATTATTTCTCCACAAACACACAAACTCAGAAAAACGAGAAGACACGAGCAGTTCAGTAGATTTTCATTTATTTGAGCATTGGGAGGTTTCTCAGCAGCGGCCCGGACCGTCATCAGCACCTCAGAGCAGGAGAGAGAGCTTTCGGCAGGAAGGTTATGATCAGCAAAGGAATGGAATAATAATAATATATAAATATATATTTATTATTATAAATATATATTTATTATTATGAAAATATTATTTATTATTTAATAAAAACTAGAAGTGTTGAGGGCTGTGTCTGACAAATAAAAAGTGAGAAAAGATAATAGTGAACGTTTTAGATGAAATAAAATTGGCAAATACATATAAAAAGAGACAAACAGGAGCAATACCAGTTTCCACAGATGGAGGGAAAAATATTTCTACTTTTTTTTGCAAACATTTTTCCTTTATATATAGATTTTTTTCTGCTTTTTTAAAGCCTTTCATGTTTACGGTTATGAAATGGCATCATGCAAAGAGTATGCTTTTTTTGTTAGTATTTTGGCCTCTCTCTTGCTCTGAGGTGAACTGATGAACGCGGCTGCTGCGGTTATGTGATTGATTAGCCGTTTCCTCTAGGTTTCTCTGACCGGTTGGAGAGGCGGGCAGGGAGAGAACCCAGCGTTCTGCTGTATCACCAGTAAACCCTGTCCTCCTCCCACCGTTTCGGCCGTGCACGTGGGCGCCCCCTCCTGGGGACTCTCCTCGCTGTACAGGCGCTTGATCCCATCGAAATACTCATCCACCTCCATGTGTTCCACCTTCCGCTTGGCCGAAGACTTGCACGAGCGGGTGTGGGTGGTGTTGGGGTCAGAGGGCGCTGTCAGGGCGGGGGAGATGTGCCAGGCGGGCAGGGGATGGCAGATGTACACAGTGTTAGGAGGCAGGGAAGCCGTGTACGTGGACAGGCAACGTGCAACCAGCTCTCGACAGCCGATCAGCTGAGAACTGTCGATCTGAAAGAGAGGAAAAAAAATGATGATGATATGCACCATCGTTCAAAAGTTTGGGGTCTTTTATTCAGCGAGGAGGCATTAAATTGATCAAAAGTGACAGTAAAGGCATTTATAATGTTACAAAAGATTTCCATTTCAAATAAATGCTGTTCTTTTGAACTTTCTATTCATCAAAGAATTGTGAAAAAAATGATGTATCACTGTTTCCACAGAAATATGAAGCAGCACAACTGTTTTCAACATTGATAATAATCAGAAATTTTTCTTGAGCAGCAAATCAGCATATTAGAATGATTTCTGAAGATCATGTGACACTGAAGACTGGAGGAATGATGCTGAAAATTCAACTTTGATCACAGGAATAAATTACAATCTAAAATATACTCAAATAGAAAAGTCTCATTTTAAATAGTAATAATATTTCACAATATTACTGTTTTTACTGTATTTTTGAACAAATAAATGTAGCCACTGAGATACTATTATATTTTGAATCAGTTTTTAGATTTATATTGTTTTTTCATTTTTATTTCAATTTGTTCAAGTTTTAAATTTTATTTTTTTTTAAAGAGTGATTTTAGTTTTAAACAATTAAATGAGAAATGTTGCTTCAGCAACTAGTTTTTATATTTTTTATTTTATTCAAGTTACAAAAAAAAAAAAAACATGTAATGGTTACATGTAATGTAATTTTAGTTTCAGTTTTAGGTAATTACAATAACCCTGTTACGGACCCAAAACTTTTGGGTTGTGTATATCACAATAAAAGACAGTAATGTTCAATAAATAGTCATGAATATTTTAAAACCGTTTCACTGTTGTTGACAGTATGTTACTGAACCTGTATGTTTAATGATGCAATAACCTGTAAACTTATGGGAATTTCTTTATCAGTTATTAACCGTATGACAGTCATCACTGTAAAGCAAGGGACTTTTAAAGGTCTTTATTTTTAGTTTCGCTTTGAGCTCGCTGCTGGCATTGATAACAGAGTTTGCTTTGGAGAAGTGACTGACCGGGCCTCTTCTGAGTTATGATAAGAGTTTAAGAGCCTACAGAAAACCAAACATGTGAGACGGTTTTCTGTAGGCTGAGTCTGAGCAGATGAGTTCAATTACACATCACGCATCAACAGAGCCTCTGTAAGCGAGGAATAATGAGATAACTGGATCGTCACAAAACCTGACTGACACTGATGATGAGACCTCAAGAAAAGTTTAGAGTGACCACAGATCGTTGTGATCTTCCTGAACACTTTATGGATTTCTTTAATACAAACGTTTGAATGTGATCTCCTGATTTTCCCTCTAAAATCTCTTAAGCTACATTATTTCTACAAACAATGTTCAATACCCATTTTGTTCAAATGTTCAAACACTTTTTGACCCTATAAAGGCTGCTTTGCCATATTGGATATGCACATTTCTAAGGCCTTTAAATGATCAACATGATTAAAACTTTTCTGAACAACCTGATCTACTACATGCCATCTGTCATCTGACAGATAGTAGTTGTTGTTGTTTTAATCAAGTAAAAGGCCTTTTACTATAATTGTAAAAATGTCCACCTTCAGCACAGGTCTTTGTGCTGTGAAATCTTGATTTTTATTAAGTACATTTAACATTAACTTTCATATTGTTAGTAATATTTCAAGACAAACACTTGCTGGACTGAAACAACTGTTGTCTACTTTACAATGCTTGATTATTCATACATTATCTTTTTAGCAAAA